AGGTCACTGTCCGAAGGCAACAATAGTTCCTAGCATGGTGTAGGCTATGGTTAACCTAGTCACGAAGCTCGGCATCAATAACATCGTTATACCGAGATCCACCGTTTCGAATATAAGCAACAGAGCAAACCATTTGGGATAAACACAATTCCTTTGCAGCAATGGTAATTGTCAGGTCCAGTACGGCAAGTTCGGTGGTCAGCCAGGTACGAAAACTGGTTACCAGTACAACGAGTTAGCTGGGTTATAGCACGCGACCCGACTAACCGACTGGTACAGATGAGTGAGGCCTGAACGGATCCATCACAGTACAGAAACCTAACAGTTGATTGATGGGTGATCAGAAGCTCTAATCATAACACTACAAATTTTATAACTAAATATCACCCACCTTGAACTTCGAATGAACCAATTTCGGCTGAGTAGAGCCTGCTGCCACTGAGCTGATTGGGACCACTGAAGAGCTACATGTGACGTTCGATAATGCAGACGACACAGGCATTCCACCAGCACATGGTCCTGATGAAGTGACCACAGGTAGTACACCAACTGAATCACTGGACAACTGGCTATTCGGTGTTACTGGTGGTGCAGGTGGTCCAGATGGATGAGGTGCACGTCGCGGTGGACGAGGCGGTCCGGTAGCCGTCCAGCCACTGGCAGGGTTCGTCGCTTGTTGAGGTGACGCAGGTTCATCATTTTCTGAGCTCACAGGAACAACCTGGAGAGAGTTGAGAACGTTGTGACAACCAGCGAAAAGAACCAATGTTATCCATTCCGCAATTTTACAATTATCATTGGAAGGAATAAAATGGCAGCCATCGGTAGTAGATGTGGGTGAGTTGAATGAAAACAATTTATGGTGCATGTTTATCAATTGGATATTGTGAAGTACCACAACTGTCTTAGTTGATATTCAAAATAACTAACACTTCTGAACAGCTGAGAAAAGCTATCAAACAGGTTGTTAAAGGAGCGCATAGATACTCGTATAGAAAACCTGATGGACAAAAAACAGAAAAACCAAAATACACGCGTATACCAGTGACCTCACACCTGGAGCCAAAGTCAGAAGTGCTACGTCGGACTAGCGCCAATTAGGCCCTCCTGACGTTCCCCACTCGTTAAGCAGGATTAAACCCGTTGATTGTGCGAAAAACATCCGTGGGGTGATGCGAAACCGAGAAGCCGGACACAGAAAATTGGGTGCTCCGTTGGTGAGATTTAGATCAATAGAGCGCATACAGCACTACCTTTTCTCTCGAAACTGCTCAGACAGACAACAACATCAATCGAAGAACATGTAATAGTATACGAAAATGAGGAAGAAGTTCGCAATACGAATGTTCATCATCTATTCTGTGTATCACAGTTGAATCGAACATAAACTATGCTACAACCTTGAAAAATAGAAGCGAGCACCATTAGTAAACCACAGTGAGTAATATTTTTCCAATAACCGTGATATTTGCGAACCGAGTTTTGTTAGAACCCAATAGATCCGTTACAGAGAAGAATTACAGTTAAATTAAAGCAGGTTTTAACTCTAATTTTTGCGCTGTTGCGTTGGCGAACGAACACTACATTTGTGTGTGGGGAGGGGGTTGAAATAGCAACAATCATATCAGTAGCCACTATGATATTTTTGCTAAACGGTGAAACGTCCTTCGCGGAGTGAGAAGGAAACAAGTGAGAGCATATAACTTTTACACTGTTTCATTGAATATCCATGGGAGTCAGAGCCTATTCCGTTGTCGGAAAGGTTGCTGACGTAGAGAGAACAGCGGTTGAAGCTGGTTTGCGAACGACTGGAAAGCGTACGGTTCCCAATCGCACTATGCGAAGCAGATTTTTCGCAGAATCTACAGTTGGGACATAAGAATACAGATCTGTCTAGCACATCGCTGTCAACAAAATCGGCCAGCCTTCATGGAAGTTTCTCTGATTCCGAATGCAACCAGTTTACTTTATCCTAGACAGAACAAGACAAATGCGAGGGTCAAAGAACCGCCCGCTTTCTCATAGTATTGGAAACGGTAAAGATGAAATGCAGAAGTGGTTCTCCTAAAACAATCAAAAAAATAAGCGACGGTATCTTTGGTGGCTCTGGAACGCCGACAACAACTATCATTCTGAATGTATGGATGATGTTCGACAAATTATTAATGCTATTACGTACAGCAGATCAAGATCGATTTGTCATATTTCAAGCTCACGAAAACAAAAAAGGTCACAGGAACTGAATGCAAAACCACACTCAGGCGAACGAATCGAAGTCACGTGGGTGCAATAAATGCGGTCCTGGCGATCGATAGTTTTCGCACAAACAATGCGAAGCGTACAATGAAGTTGCGCTTATTTTAACAGCTTAAATCACACACACACACACACACACACACACACACACACAAATGAATGTATATAGCTATACACAGACCTATCTAAATGGACACAACCACGCGAAACATACAGACAGTTTCCTTCGGATCGGTAGGCTACGATGAACGGGATTTTCTNCTCGAGGGGAACTGGTAGTAAGAATGGTATCTTAACGCCATGTTGGCAGTAGTGTGCAGGACACACTTATTCGTCTATCCGCACACTTTTCACTGTTGATTTTCGAAGAACCAAAGGGAAAAGTGCAGAACTGGGTCAATAAACAAGTAATGAAATTAAGTACTTGAGTTTTATTCTACAGCCGAGTAATTAGATAAAGCCGGGTGATCTAAATTTCATTCTGTGATCACTAACAGGAGCAGCAGTAAAGGCGATCGTTGACAAGATGAAATGCGATTAAATCATGAGGAGTCAGAGGATCGATTCAGTTATCAACTCGTTCGATTATATGGCCGGGCTAGTTATGTTATCCGGTTGATCCATCTGCGTAGCCATACATGATCGATCACCGATTGCGTTACGGAATGCACAAAACGAAAAAGTGTCATAGGGCAGAATAAGAGATGATGCGAACCGCTTGTTTTCATTATTAGATGAAATTTTATGAGAATGGCAAATAACTGCGATGTATTTTGAACAAGATGCAAATGAGTGGAAGTAGGAAATTATTGGGTTTTCCTAAGCATTACAAGCAAACCGCAAGCCCCGTGTATCTGGAAAGCAAATGTTTTACTACTTAACAGTCACTCAATGATATTGAACGTTGTAAACAATCTCTAGGATTTAATGCTGCCCAAGACAAGAAAATGGATGGGCGAACCGAGACGCCCTAAGAGATGCGAAGAAATTAGGAATATCTAAAAGAATATGAAACCTAACTGAAGAAAATAAAACCCGCTGATTTCAAGTGGAGGCAGTATAGAGCAAGCTGAGTGGCAGTGGTCAAGCAATGTTGGTTAACATCACATAGACCCACAGGCTGTGTATTCGAACCTTGCCACTACCGTCTAACTTTCCTCGTTTGTTTATATGGTAAAGCAGCGTTTCAAACGGTCTCGCTACTCCTGAAACCGCAGGTATATAAGATGTATTCAATAAAAGAAAGTAAAGAAGTAAACACTAAAACAACTCGGATATACGGAAGCTTATGCGGGGTAACAAAACACAGCTTGGAATCGCGGCAGTTGATTTATCATATCTGCTGCACTATGAGCATTTACCACTTGAACGTGAATTTCGGACTACGGTTAGCAAGCTGAAAGAAACTGAAATGAAATTGGTGCTATCGATATCGATACCGTTTTTGCAAAATATGTGCACAAAAAAGCAAAGCGGAAGAATGAAACAACAAAAACCTATCGTTTATAGAGCAAACAAAAGCACTCCCTAAGACGCCATAAAACAACTGACTGTGAATTTGTTAGCCACGGTTGTGGGATTGGTCGATGCAGATCGGTGAGCAGGATCGCCGGTGGATATGATAGGAGAGGATTGTGATGTGGATGGATCGAAAGTTGTCACTTTGACCGGTTCTTTCAAAACAGACGGTTGTGGAGCCATTGCGTCGACTGAAGTGATAGCAGGAGGGGGTACCACACTTCCTGGAACTGCCGTGGGAAAAACGCGAGAACCGGAAGTTACTTGTTTCGATCCAGCTTGACTAGCTATGGTGCCGGGCGGTACGGCTGTATGAACTGCGGCCGTGCCAACCCAGCCAGACTGGAAGGCCGACAAAGGAATATGAGTTTGCTGTTGTTGTTGCTGCTGTTGAATCTGCTTTTGTTGTTGATGTTGCAAAGCACCCAGCAGAAGGTTCTGCACCTCAATTGGTAGAGCAGCAATCTGTTGTATGAAATTGAAGCGAGGTGGGCATTGTGATGCTGGAGATAAACCGGCTCGCATGGAAAAAATAATGCGAAATCGATTATTCAATTTGAAATGCGTATAACCAAGAAAACTGCATCTAAGATTCGACCTCATCGTTAATACCAGACGACAGAACTCGCGGGAACCGATTCTTCAACCGATATTTATGTTTCACACTAAATGAAAAAAGTCAGCTGAACTCATCCAAAAACAGAACTTACAAAATAGTGTTGTGACTTCTGTTGCTGTCAGCTTTTGCATCAAACAGAAGAACGAATATCAGAAAACAGAATGAAACAGACGAATGAAGGTGTGAATCCGTCTTTCAAATCATGAAACGTGATCACATCGAGCAGCGTCTCTCAAAATCGATAGAGTGGACTCATATTTTCATGATGATCACTGGTTTTGACGACTTCACTTGAAATCTAAGAAATCGGACATTTTCTACGGTGGACCAGATGTTGTGAACTTATAATCCGTTTTCACGCATATATTGGTTAGTTTTACTATGTTAAATGCCGTCCTACAGCTCCACACTTTTCAAATTGCGCCTTATATCCCATGTGAGGGTTTGTTCACTCTCTGTATAACGACGAAGAGATATTGAGGAAAAGACCGATTGTATCAAATCAAGTGATGGCTGGTGGGTTGTAATCAGGTGACGTGTGAGAGATAAAAAACTGAGAGATTAAAAGCATTGAACAAATGAATAATTTTGTCTTACGAAAGTTAGTCATGAAACCAGAATGGGGTTTCTAATAGATTTCATGTTATCAAGAACCTCCGTGAAAAATCGGTAACAAAAGTTTCCTTCATCAACCGCAATCGATGTAAAATCACTCCGAAAGTAATACATCAACTGTATTTCCATCCGTACCACACCGAAATGTATCGGTTGATTTTCTTCTTGTTTTGTGCACCTCTGCACACTCTCACACCAGCGTCAACTGTGACAATTTGTGCTGATACTTTGTCATCACAATGCGAGAACTACCGTGACCGGTATGTGTAAAGCGAGCATGAAGAAATGCACAGGTAGAATAGGTGTCTCTCGTCCTCCGGGTCGGGATCCAAAAGACGTAACTGGATGGAAGGAGACACTGAACGATATGGCAGCAGTGGCGTTCTTGTTGCCATTCTTATGAGACCAGAATGCTTGAAAAGATGTGTAGATACAGTTAGACTGTGTTGACTACAGAGGTCCGATTTCTTTTCCCCTCCCTGAAAATTGATCCAATTCACTTGCCTTTAATGCATTGTGAGTGAACTTTACTTTATTATATTCAGCGGTACGATGCTGATGACATCTTACCCGTGAAAGGTTGAGTGTATGCCGCACCAGTGCGACTGATGCTGCTTTGTAGTATAGATATTAACCGTACCAGACGCAGGAGAAAAATGAACTATTGATGTTCGAACATCGTTGTCTAAGCAGTATTGCACTACTCTAGTGAGGCAGTCGGACAAGTGATGCTGATGTTCAGCAAGGTTTCAAGTAATCACGATCAAGCACTGAAGCAAGTGCTTCACTTTTACCAATTAGGATGCCTGAGGCCTGTGTTAGGCTCCAGTTCTTTGATGGGTGAGTGAGAGCTATGAGTAGGTAGCTCTTATAGAGCAGCTGGAAAACGCTTGATTTGCATCTCCCAAGCTGCGCAACATAAGAACTATCCTCTGGATAAAGTAGCCGCAAAGATCACAGGCTATAACCGACAGTGGTGTGAAGTGGATACCCCAAAAGTGCGAACCGCGTGCCACGAAGGTCAAACCTAACGAACCGGATATCGACCCTTAATGAACTGCTGTCTCCATTGTCCGGTTAAGTCATCCGGTCAACATAAGCACTGACGTTAAATGATGCATATTCATTGTGTCCTTTACTGTTTTGCTTACTCCGAGAGAGTTTAAATGAATTTCTTGAGTAACACTCATACTGTCACTTGCTCATCAATGATAAGTTTATCGATTTGCCATTCAGTTTCTGAACCAGATAAGGCTTTGAAAACCAGTTTATCAATATTTTCTTACTCTTGCTGTCAAATATCTCTTTATTCTCCAGAAATTACTTCAAAAAACACATTATTCGATTGTATCATGTTCAAAATATTTTCATAAACGTTTGCGGAATGTAGTTTATTGCATTTAGGCTCAGGAAACTAGCTGACCCGAGAAGACTTTGTCCCATTTTGTTTGAATACATTCCTATACATTGTTTATGGTCCTTGGCCCGTTTCATTAGTTTTCCAATTCAACCAATGAATTCTCTTCCCATACACTTGATTTTCGAATACGCAACACTTTTCTACGATATAAATCAGTTCAGTTCTTACAACAATTAACCATGAACTTTCGTGCGACGGTTTTGGTTGCCCATTTCGATAAAAAAGCAGAATGATGTTTAGAATGTGGAGAGCAGATTCAAGCGGAATATGGCATATTTACATTGACTGAAGCTACAATAATAGTGAGTAGATGCAACAGCGCCACTGTTTGCGACACCCAGCTATATCACTCTGTGTCTCTAATCACCGGTGACCATGATCTCTGGGTCCCCAGCCAGGGAGAATAACGGGACCTATGTGAGCCAGTCTCCTGGTCAGGGTTTTCATACCCTCATGCCAGGTCTGAGCTTGACCGCCCTTCGTTTTTTTCCAATCGCTACCAGCCTTGGCAAACATCGTTCGCCGTGGCAACCTATCTGGTGACATGCGTAGCACATGTCCCAACCAGCGTAATCTATGGAGGTCGATCACTTGCTCTAGTGGACGACCGCGACTACCTAAAACTCTACGCCTAACCTCAGCATTGCTAGTCCGGTTACCCCACCAGACAAGTGCAATGCTACGTAGACAGCGGTGTTCGAACACCGACAATCTATTTTTATCCTGTTCCCTTAGTGGCCAAGTCTCTGCACCGTAGAGCAGGACTGGTCGAACTGCTGCAGCATACACTCGACTCTTCA